AAGACAAGAAAATATAATTAACCCTGACAAATAATAAACAATAATGCTACATGTAGGGAATTAAAATATATAAAATCTATGATTTGTGGTTTAAATTTGTTTTATGTATGATTTACATAACAAATAAGATGTATCTCATTCATAAATTATGTTTTCTGTGTATTTTTATATTTTAATTATGTGTGATTATTATTTTTTAAATAATAAATATATTTTTCAATAAAAATATTTGGAGTTGGAGTCGAACCGTTGGTAAATTTTCGAGCGTATGAATCCGTACGATAAGAAATTGATACAAATCACCCACCCCTTGTTTTCAGGGAATCTTCTGACTTTAATCCCCACTATCCAATAAAAAACAAAAAAAATTCTCCACTATCCAGAGATATACAAATAAAATAAAAAGTATTTTTTTTCTTTATTTTTAATTTTTTTTCCCTTTTAAATTTATAAGTCAAACATAATAGCTAGAGTTTTTTTGTCTCCCATTTGCATCTATCAATGAATTGGTAAATTATCTGGTTCTGTTTAGTACGTACATCAAATTAATAGAGTTTATTTTAAAATTAGTAGGGTAAAAAATTAATAGTAGTAGGGATTGTTTGAGGAGTGATTTTTTTATTAAAATAATTAAAATGTAAAATCAAGTTATCATATTATTTTTTTTACGCTTTTACTCATTTTTTTTATAAAAAAATTAATTAAAATAATTAATTTCTAAATGAACTCAAACCGGCTTGATTTTTAAGATATTATTTGTATTGTATGGATGTCCCATGTGTTCACGGGATTCTTTGTGTGAATCTTTGGCTGAATTTTATAAGTTAATTAAAAGAAGAAATGATATATAAGTTTACATTTTAAATTGATATTTTAAAATTAATGATGTGTAAAAGAGATGATTAGTTAATGATTAAAAAATATATAAAGGAAAAAATTATCTTACATTTTTTAATTGATTGTCAGTGTCACATCTTTATATTTAAAAAATGGATTTAACTTTTAGCTAGAATAACAATGTCCTAATTAAAATAATTCATGTTATTCGAAACACTTATGTATTTTTTTGGCCAATATTATTAGATTTTGGACATATTTTCCAAAATAAGAAATAATTTTTTTTTGATGAAAAATAAATCAATTTATTGACTTATTTTTTTTAAAAAAAAAGAGTAATTACTTAGGATTAGTTTAGAATAAGTTATTTTAATTAATTTTTAAATTTTTTATACAAAGACGTGTAAAAGAATATAAAAAATAATGTTATAATTTATAATAATTTTTGATTATTTAACTTATTAACCAACGAGGCTTTATTTATTTATTTTTAATATATAGAAAATGACAAAATAAGTTTTTGTTATAAATATATGGATAAATTACAAATACACCCCCTTGAGGTTTAATTAAAATACAAATTGTTTATTGTGGTTTTAAAAATTACATTCTAATCCTGGGAGTTTTCTAATAAATGATTATTTTTATTAATAAATTTTCAAGTCAATTAACAGTCTTTAATGAGGTCAAAAATTTATTTCAATTAATAAATTTATTTCATTGTATAGGAGAGTAGTTAGAAATTTCATTTTTTCGGTTAATTATATTAAATAAAAAATTTTGACAATTTGAATTAAACTATATAAATATACAGTTTTAGGTAAATACACTTATTTAAGTCTTAACAATCAATATTTTTTTTCTACTATTTTTTTATATATCTATTTATAAAAAATTAAAAAAAATAAAATTTAAGACCTCTAATTAAAAGATGTCATTAATGATGTGACAGTAAATTACAAATTTTTTTTTTTCATTTCCACCTCACTAATGTTGATTTAGAATACAATATTAGGATTGATTTGAGATGTTTTAAAAAAGTGTATTTTTTGCCTTTTTATGAAAAGATGTACAGAAAAATAAAAAGGTGATGTCATAAAAAAAAGATAAAAAAATAAATTATATAAGAGATATCAAAGGAACCCTTAAGCCAAAAAAAAAGTGTACGACCGTGTGTACAATGGATGTGGGACAAAATGCATTTTGCACATAGGACCTTCTATAGGGGTAGTCCGTACTACAGATGTTTGTTGGCTCTATGGGTAGAGATATTGGCCTTACCTAACCTATGTTTGGTTGATAAAAATAAGAAGGGATTAGTAGTTTCATAGGACTCTTATAAATATTTTCACATAAGGGGATTAGTTTGGATAAATTTTAGGTCAGAGTAGAAAAATAGTAAGAAAATTAAGTCTATTTTATATAAAAAAATTATTTTTTTAATTTCATTTTTTTTATCAAGTGCACTTGTTTACTTTAATATTTGTTTTAATTTTTTTAAATATAGAAATACTTATTTTTTTAAATGTAGAAATGCTTTATTTATTTATTTTATATAAAAATAATTTAACAATCTCATCATTAATTATCTCCTACACTATCATCAAAACAAACATATTTTTACTTAGGGCTATTTTGGGAACTTGGCTAAAAGCCACTTTTTTTGGTTAGTAGCAAAAGCCAAAAGTTGGCTTTTTTGGCTTTTTTTTTTCATTTGGCAAGTTGGTTTTTAGCCAACGGTGAAATTACAATTTTACCCCTCATGGGTCACAATGTGTTACATAGGTTCAGTTGTAAATATTTTAAATAAATGGGGGTAGTTTAGTCATTTTATTATGATTTGACATCATAAACAAATATTAATCAAAAAAGTCAAAAGTCACTTTTTACCAACTTCCCAAATCATTTGTCTAAAAAAACCAAAAACTTGGTTAAAAGCCAAAAAGTCACTTTTTACCATCTTCCCAAAACAACCCTTAATCTCTTCACTAACAATCCTTACATTAACAATTCTTTCATTAATAATTTTTTCACTAATAATCTCATCCAACTTAATCTGCTAAACAAATATGAACTTTAATGTGGATGTTAGTGTCAGATGCCATCTTTTTGGCATAAAAAATGTTTGAGTGCTCTAAATTAAGGTCATATTTATTTTTAGAAATAGAATGAAGGGGATTGATAGTGAAAAGATCGATAGTGAAGAAATTATTAGTGAAGGGATTGATAGTGAAGGGATTAAGTAAAATTGTGTTTGTTTTGATAATAGTTGTTAGTGTAGGGATTGTTAAATTATTTTTATATTAAATAAATATAAAATAATAAAACAAATAAAAAATACAAAAATATTAAACATTAATGTTTTTAAAAAATTGTCCAACATGTAAAATTTTTTTAAAAAATAAAAATAAAATAAAAAATTTTCAAAAAAAAATAAAACAAATAAAATAATGATTTTTACTTAACAAAAAATACAAAGTTCGGCTCTGTAACTGAATCGCTTTCTATTCCATGGACACGTGGCAGGCCCCTATTGGTTGAGTATAGTTGTCGACGCCAACTTCGTACCTTGCAAATTTTGAACAGTCTCGCATTTTTCACTCTCTTTACACAAAACAAAACCCTATTCTTCAAACAAAACATATCGCTATTCATCATCTCTCTCTCTTTTGCTTGAGCCTCCATTTTTGTAACCTCAGTACTTGCGAAGCTTGCGTTTTCATCACCATTTGCATGGTTTTAGATCTGTATCCTTCCATCTTCAATCCGTAAGTAGCTCAATCCTCTATTTCTTTTCATTCATTCTGTATTTGTACTGTAATACATAGGATAATATATATGTTTCTCAAAACACTTTGTAGTCTTCATGGAAAATGACCACTTTATTCCAAGAACCATGTAATAGATCCACTGGATTCATAACCAATCTGAAAAATGACGCTTTTGATCCAAAATAACACTTCAACCGAACTAGGAACCTGTTTGTACTTAAGGTGTGCACCCAGTCGAACTAGATTAAGTTTCAATAGGTCTAAGGACTTTCTGTTTCACTTAGCCGAGCTAGGGAACTGCATTAGGTGGGCGCACTACCGAACAAGGAAGCCTTAGATAATGACCGGGCTAACACTTGGGACCAAACCAGCTCTCTGACTTAATTAAAACCGAACCAGGGGGGGAAGTGGCAGAGTTGACAGCACAAGAAGAAGAGGGAGAGAGAGGGGGTAAGGAGAGTTGGCATAAAAACGGGTCCCACATTTATTTATATCATTTTTTACTCATTAAGGGATTGTTTAAAATATTTTAAATAAATACACTTTTTATTTTTTTAGATTAAAAAATAAATAAAAAAATATGAATATTTGAATAATTTTTTTAATTTTTTATAAAAAATATGTATTAAAATATTATATAAAATTATAAAATTATGAAATTACCCTCGTTGTATATAAAATTATAAAATTATGAAATTACCCTCGTTGATACTGTGCAGTGCACTTTCAGTTACTTTTTAATTTTTAATATTTTATTTTTTATATCACATCAATGGTTACAAATGTGTCACGTTGAAAATTTTGTTAGAATGTGTGGCTGCATAATTTGTGTAGTTATTTTGTTTTTGTTTTGTTTTGTTTTGTTTTTTTTTTTTTTCAATTGATAGATTTCCTGCCAAGAAGAAGTAAACAATATGAACTTTTTTATTTTTTAATAACTTTTTGATTTTTTAAATTTTTTTAAAGATGCTAAACTTAACCTAAATTAACCAACTCTTAACATACAAATTTAGATCACAATTTTATTATTTTTTATTATATAACACACTTTTTAACACATTCACTATAGATGCTCTAAATTTTACACAGTACATGCACATCTATGTACTTTATAATAAATTTCATTTTATTTTAAGTAATTCTATCTACCATATCCAGGCCTTATTTGACAATTTTTTTTTTAATTTATAAAAAGATAAAATAAATTAAAATAGTTAATAAGATAAAATGTTACATCAAATTTATAATTATTTTATTTTTTTCATAAATATCACTGTACGAGCACGAAATAATGTTCTTGTGTAATCCTGTTGATCAAGTTTGCGCTTCTCCAAACGTCGTCGCTTTATTCCCTGAAAACACAAACGTAAGCTAACCGGCGGGTGTGTGCCGGATACCTCTCCTATGCCTAAGTTAGCAAAATAGACAAATAGACAAAAACTCTGTGTATTCGAGAATCAAAATTGTATTACCTCTACACAGGTGATGTTGTGAGCTTTTATAGGTTCCACATAGCACAATCTTAGTAGAACTCTTATTCTTTCATGTAGAATCCTCCTAGAAATCACATTCTTGAAAGATAATGATTATCCTTACACACCCCCCTCAATGCATAAACCAAGTGAGATGGTTCTAGCTCGGTGGTATGACCAAACGACCGAGCTAGTACTACCACGCTCAAGTGGCAGGTTAGACCGAGCTCTGCCTAGCTCGGGTCTTTCTTTCACCGCTTGTACTTCGGTTGGGCATACTCCAACCGAGCTATTTACTTCAGACTGATCGAACCATGCCTAGTGACGGCCTTAGCTCGGCGCTACTATGCGCGATGCTTAGCTCGGTCCAACTTCGCCTGGGTCCAACTCGTTAGCTCAAAGACCGGGCTATGTCATCCCTTTACCCCGGCCCGTTTATGCGGCCCAACTTACAAAAAGGCCTTTAGCTCGGCCCAATTATAAATTACCCTCCCAATTGCCCCTTAATTCTATCTGCGTAGCATGATTGGGATTACTCTTCTACCTGCCCAGCTAAAAAGTGGCCTTCAACCGAACTAAATTCACACCGGGCTACAAATCTGTCCGGTCAAAACGTCTTTTCAATTGCTGTAACTGAATCGCTTTCTATTCCATGGACACGTGGCAGGCCCCTATTGGTTGAGTACAGCTGTCGACGCCGACTTCGTATCTCGCGAATTTTGAACAGTCCTGCCTTTTTCACTCTCTTTACACAAAACAAAACCCTATTCTTCAAACAAAACATATCGCTATTCATCATCTCTCTCTCTTCTGCTTGAGCCTCCATTTTTGTAACCTCAGTACCTGCGAAGCTTGCGTTCTCATCACCATCTACGTGGTTTCAAATCTGCATCATTCCGTTTTCAATCCGTAAGTAGCTCAATCCTCTATTTCTTTCCATTCATTTTGCATTTGTATTGTAATACATAGGATAATATATATGTTTCTCAAAACACTTTGTAGTCTTCATGGAAAATGACCACTTTATTCCAAGAACCATGTAATAGATCCACTGGATTCATAACCAATCTGAAAAATGACGCTTTTGATCCAAAATAACACTTCAACCGAACTAGGAACCTGTTTGTACTTAAGGTGTGCACCCAGTCGAACTAGATTAAGTTTCAATAGGTCTAAGGACTTTCTGTTTCACTTAGCCGAGCTAGGGAACTGCATTAGGTGGGCGCACTACCGAACAAGGAAGCCTTAGATAATGACCGGGCTAACACTTGGGACCAAACCAGCTCTCTGACTTAATTAAAACCGAACCAAGAATGCTGTACCCTAGGCTTTTACCGGGCTACGTACCTTTCTTTCCACTTAACCAAGCTAAAGTCCTCCGCTCCAACCGGGCTAAAAACAGATAGTATCCCACGTAGCCGAGCTAAGATTCCATTTATTTTGCCTTTGTTACTTTTAGCACGGCCCAACGATCTGTGCTTAACACTTTTCCTCTTCACTTTGCAGACTGACTTAGGTTGGCCAGGCACACCATTGCATGCTCAACCGAGATACCGAAGGTCATCTCAAATGCCAAGCTAAATTATACATAATTTGAGGCCACATGGGGAAGTATCGATTTTTAGTGAACTCTCCAGGGGCCATAGCCGAGTTCCGAAAGGATTACCAAATTCCAGATGACGTCCACCTCTCACTAGCCAAACTAGACACCATTCCCTGGGGAAAATCGGGCTTCGTCCCTTTCAACGTCATTTCCATTATAGAGGCTGGCCTTCGTTTTCCTGTTCAGCCTCTGCTTTGTGAATTCTTTCGACAAACAAGACTTTGCCCAACCCAGCTCAGTGCCAATTCGTACAGAATAATAAATGGCATCACCGAGCTAAACCGTCGGCTTGGCCTTAATCTCAGTTTAGCGGAGTTATTCCACCAATATTCATTAGGCCAAAACGAAGATGGCTGGATATATTATTTAAGAATAAGACGTCGCCGAGAGAAAATAATAAAGAAGACACCAGACAAAGACGTAAATGATGATGACTTTTTCTGGGTCTCAGGCAATTTCGAAGATTAGGAAGCCCAGATCCCGGGCGACCAAATTAACCGGAATAAAGGAGTAGCCGGTATAAATACCTCGACTTAGTTTGTGCTTTCTTTTCTTGACCGAGATAATTTTTGCACCGTGCTAACCGTTGGCCTTTTTCCTTTATGCAGACTTGAACCATCTGAAGTCGCAGTACAATTATCATATTCTCGACGCACTCCGTGCCGCGCTTCGATATCGTGATAGAAATTGGGCCGATCTACTCAATTTCGAATCGACATACAGATACAGCAGCAAGAGGAAGACTAGGGTGATAGATTTCCTTCTAGAGCCATCACCAGAACCCAATCCAACCCTTCTACAAATCAACCTCATTCCATTAACAGAAGAGCAAGAAATGGCCAAAAAGAGGGCAGTCAGAGCACTTATTACCGAAACAAACCAACCCAAGGTACCACAGGCCGGCCAAACACAAGAGGCCGTGGTAGCGCTTCCAACTGCCCAGCCTTCATCATCTTGGCCAAGCAAGCGCGCTCGGACTTCCACAACCGAGCCACGCCTTGTTGACGAGGATGAAACCGTGTTTCCGCAAATCACTTCGCCCAGCCCAGAGCCTGAACGTTCCGACCGGGATAAATCTTCTGATTGGGCCCCAAAACTCACTTTTAAGAATCGAGCTATTCAAAACACAGATTCGGTTGTAGCAGACAAAGATCATACACTTGCCTTTAACCTGGCCAAGAGTGTGTGCTTGCCCCATGACATGGAACATCATGACCATTTGACTGAGCTAAAGGCCATCCGGTCAGCGACGAAGTCAATGGTGCTGGTAAGTACTCTTAATCGTCTTTCATTTTACACCATCTGTTTGCTCGATTTTTAATCACTCGTTTTCTCTCCTTTCGCAAGCTATGCAGAAAAACCACATTGCGCATAAGCATGTGCTAGAACTGTGCAAGACGACATGGCTGGCCGTAGCTGAGGTTGATAGCAAAACGGTCGAGCTAAATAAGGCTAAGCAAAAAATGGCGGAGCTGCAATCAGAAGTCGCCCGACTCACCGGGCTAGTAGACACAACGGAGGCGGACAAACAAAAATTATTAACCGAGCTGAAGGACCGTTATCTGCGCGAGCTTGCTAAAGTCGAGAATAAGAAGAATGCCAAGATAACGGAGCTTGAGAAAAAGATGGAGGAGGCAGAAGATCGCGGTTACAAAGAAAGTGAAGCCACCTATATCCTGCGGTGCGAAGCTGCTAAGGATATATTTTTCAAATGTGGGTGGAAAGCAGCCGTGGCGCAGCTCGGTCATGGCCTAGAGACCGAAGTCTTCCTCAACCCTCCTCTGTATTTCATACCGAGCTACATGGCGGAGTATGCCTACGCCATTCAACAAAAATTTCTTCAAGGTGAGGAAGAAGAAGCAACTCCAAAGCCCAGCATTATTCCTGCCGCTATCACTGATCCCGGTCTTCCAGTTGTCCAGTTAGCTCGGGTGGGACCACCGGTGCCCATTGCGGCTGACGACGTGGTGGAGACCGACCTACTAGCCGATGCCGGGCTACCAATTGGTGAGGCTCGGGTTGACTTGGATGTTGATTTAGATGACCTCTTTGCTTGACCATGTACTTTCTTCTTTTTAGATGCTTAACTGTAAGAAATTTGTAACCGGGCTGAGGCTCCACTTTATGTACCTTTGACTTGAATTTGGAATGAAATCTTCAATTTCTACATCTTTTTGCTCGGTTTATTTCATACCTGTACTTATTTTTCAACTACAATTTGTATGAAGTTTAGCTTTCTATGGCCGTGGTACTTATCTCGGTCTTGGAGTCTTGTATTTTGTTCGGTCATTCCTGCCAATTCTCTTCATCCTAGACCCTTATCTCGGGTGAAGAGTACCTAAAGTTGGTTATTCCAGTCAACCACTCTTTAGCCTAGATCATTATCTCGGCTGAAAGAGTACTCAAAGTTGGTTATTCCAGCCAACCACTCTTCAGCCTAAATCCTTATCTCGGCTGAAGAGTACTTAAAGTTGGTTATTCCTGCCAACTTAGAGCAAAGTGTTTGGTTATTCCGGCCAAACTTCCTGCAACCTAGATCCTTATCTCGGCTTAGGAGAAGTGAGTGTTGGTTTTTCCAGCCAACCTCTTCAGCATAGATCCTAATCTTGGCTAAAGAGAGCTCAAAGTTGGTTATTCCTGCCAATCTAGAGCGAAGTGTTTGGTTTTTCCTGCCAAACGTCCTGCAGCCTAGATCCTTATCTTGGCTTAGGGGAAGTATTGGTTTTTCCAGCCAATCTCTTCAGCCTAGATCCTGATCTTGGCTGAAGAGAGCTTAAAGTTGGTTATTCCTGCCAACTTCGAGCGAAGTGTTTAGTTTTTCCTGCCAAACGTCCTGCAGCCTAGATCCTTATCTTGGCTTAGGAGAAGTATTGGTTTTTTCAGCCAACCTCTTCAGCCTAGATCCTGATCTTGGCTAAAGAGAGTTCAAAGTTGGTTATTCTGGCCAACTCTGCTTTCAATGCCCTAGCTTACTAAAACAACTTTTACAACAGAAAACAATTATACTGGAAAGAAACTACTTGTTTTATTGAAAAAGGAAAAATTACAAGTACTTTAAAGAAAAGCTAAAAATAAAATAGCTTAAGATTGGCAGTGTTCCATGGCCTGGGAATGACCTTGTTGTCTTTATCCTCCAAGTGGTATGCCCATTTTCCTGCTAATCCAACCACTTTGTAAGGTCCTTTCCAATTAGGCTCTAACTTGCCGTCTCCAGGGACCAGGGTGTTTCTCATTACTTTGCGCAGCACCCAATCTCCAATCTTGAATTGCCTCGGATGTACTGTCTTGTTATATTTTCTGGATAACTCCTGCTGATATGAGGCAATGTGTACCAGTACTCTTTCTCTTCTTTTTTCTGCAAGGTCGAGCTCCAATGCTATGGCTTCTCCGTTTAAGTCTGGATCAAAGTTTTCACTTCTAATTGTGGGGAGGTCGACTTCCAGTGAGATTACTGCTTCCATATCATAGGCCAAGGAAAAAGATGTTTCTCTAGTAGACAGCCGATGTGTGGTACGATAAGCCCATAAAACATGAGGGAGCTCCTCCGCCCACTTGCCTTTTGCTTTCTCTAGCCTTTTCTTCAATCCATCCAAGACGGTTTTGTTTGATGCTTCCACTTGGCCATTTGCTTAGGGGTATGTCGGTGTAGAGTTATAGAATTCTATCTTGTATTCCTCACAAAAGCCTCTAAAAATTTTGGATTCCTTCTGCTCTGACCGACACAGCACTGACTGCGTGCTGTGAAACTGCTAAGTACAAAAAGAGCTCTTCTCCAGGTATTGGGGTTACTAGCAATGGTGAAGAAGACATGTATTCTTTCAAGCTTTCTAGGGCGAGGTCGCATTCTTCGTCCCACTCAAACTTGGCTTTTAATTCTTGGAAAAATGGTCGATATCTGTTTGACGACCGACTTATGAACCGGTTGAGCGCAACTGCCAGGCCAGTGAGATGCTGCACTTCTTTTACTATGTTGGGCCTCTCTAGATCCTGGATTGCTTTGATCTGAGAGGGGTCTGGCTCTATACCTCAGTTGGTCACCAGGAAGCCTAGGAATTGGCTTGATCCTACACCAAATGCACACTTGGATGCATTTAGGCGTAACTTGTACTTCTTCAGAATCTGGAACATTTCATCTAGGTCCCTGAGATGGTCCTTCTCATCCTTGCTCTTGACCACCCTGTCATCGATGTAAGCCTCCATTGTTCTGCCTAACAATGGTTTGAACATCTTGGTGACCATCCGTTGGAATGTTGCCCCTGCGTTCTTTAGGCCAAAGGGCATGACCTTGTAACAGTACAATCCTCTAGGCGTTATAAAGGATGTGACCTCCTGGTCTGGTTCATACATAGCGATCTGATAGTAACCTCTGTACGCATCAAGGAAGCTAAGTCGATTGTGTCCTGCCGTCAGGTCTACTAGTTGGTCTATCCGTAGTAGGGGAAAACTGTGTTTTGGGCATACCTTGTTGACTGTTTTGTAGTCCACGCAGACACGCCGTTTTTCGTTCTTCTTTGGCACTACTACGGTATTGGAGATCCATCTAGGGTAGTGTACCTCTTTGATAGCTCCTGCCAGAAGCAAGTTTCCCACTTCTTCCGCCACTATCTCGGCATAGTGGAGTGCTGATCTGCGAGTGCACTGTATAACCAGTCTGGCAGTTGAGTGGACGTTCAGTTGGTGACAGATGAAGTTTGGGTCAATGCCAGGCATGTTATACGGTGTCCAGGCAAACACTTCGATGTTAGAGGTTAAGAATTCCATGACCTCTATTCTCTCAGTGCTTGACAAAGACGAGCCAAGCAAAAAGAAATTTTCTAGGTCTTTTTCATCTATTCTTACCTGTACCAAGTCTTCCATTGCCTTTTGTTCAGCTGCCTTGCCAACATCGGCAAATAGTTCATTGCTCTCAGGTTCTTCCACCATCTGTACATAGCCTTTGGCAGCACGACTGCCATTTACTGTGACGGAGCATTGTTTTGACATAATTTGGTCTCCAAAGACCTCTTCAATCACTCTGGCTTCGTTGGGAAACCGCAATACTTGATGGTAGGTTGACGCTACCGATCGCATGGCATGCAACCATGTCCTCCAAGATTATGTTGTAGGTGGAAGGAACTTTCAATACCCAGAACTCCGCCTGTTTTGTCATGGTTCCTTTGACTGGGAGAATTATTTTGCCTACTGGCCACACTGGCATTGAATTGAATCCGATCGGGGGAAATGTTGCAGGTGCCATGTCTTTGTCCTCCAGTTTTAGTTGTTTAAAGGTTTCATAATACATTATCTCACATGAGCTTCCTTGGTCGATCAAAATTCGTTTGACGTCAAAATTCTTAACACGTAGAGTGACAACCAATGCATTGTTGTGAAGGCAATATATCCTTGCTAAATCTTTTTCTGAAAAAGATATGACATCGGTGGCCTCTGTTCTCCTCTTTTTGTTGGTAGGTTGTGCACTTAATACCTCCCTTAAGTGCTCAGCCCTTTTGAGCATTCCCCTGAGCTCACATACCTGCTCAGGTTCAAATACTCCATGTATTACGTTAATTACACCTTGAGGTAGAGCGTCGACCAGCATCCCGTTTGGGATGTTATGGTTCTGGGGGGCTGGCTGTGTTCCTCCTTCTATGTGCTGGTCCAGGTGCCTAGCCGCCACTAACTCCTCTAAATGCTGTCCCAACGGCGTGCAATTTTCAGTGCGGTGCCCATTTTCATCATGGAAGGTGCACCGGGACCTCTCGTCATAGTCCTTTTGTGCTTCTCCCAATTTAGCTGGCCATCGGACGAAAGGTTCGTCTCGTATCTCACTTAGGATTCGGTAGATCGGTTTTTTGAACACCGTGGTAATGGCAGTGCGAACTCTTAACCACCTTTTGTCTGGGTCTTCTCTGTTAGCCCGCCTACCTCGCCCATTCCTGCCTGGTCATTCTACTGTGTTGACTTTTGCCGTAGTCTTTTTATCTGGCATTGCTGCTGTGCCAGATTTTGTTTTAGCACAGGTGCCATCTTTCTCCACGCGAATATGTTAATGCACTCGCTCCATTAAGGCCTCCATCGTGAGGGATGGCGTCATAGTAATCGAGTCCCTCAACTTGTTTCTGACTGGCAGACCTTGTTTGTATTGTGCAATGGCGAGGTTTGTAGGGCAATCCCCAATTTGGTTGATGGTCTCTCAATAACGATTGTTATAGGATCTCAACGTTTCCTTGTCGCCCATGTCAATGGAGAGTAACTGGTCAATCTCCACTGGTGTTTTGGTGTTCGTCTTGAATCTAGTCACGAACGCCTCTGCCAACTGTGCCCATGAGGTGATACTACCTTCTGGTAGCCTTTCGAACCAGGTTAAACCTAGGTCGCCCAGGCTGGATGGGAACAAGATACACATTAAGGCCTCGTTCCGCCTGTATACTGCCATAACCTAGCAAAAGTGGCTCAGGTGCATGTAGGGGTCTGTCTTTCCTTCGTAAGTAGTGAATTTTGGCTAGAGAAAGCCCAAAGGTAGTGGTGCATTCTCAATTGCCGGAACGAACGGTGAGCTCTGTAACCTTACTAATGCTTTGTCCGTTGGTTCGTAAGTAAGGCACGGTATTGGCATTCCTACCTCAACGCTCCCATGCGTCTGAGGGGCCAACCGCTAAAGGGCTGAAACCTTGCGCAGGTCGCGTGCCCTGGTGTCCTCCTTCCATCGTGCCCTTTCTTCAAGCACAGTTCGCAAGTCAGACGACCTCGGCAACTCCGTGTGCCTAGATGATGTCTGGTGCGTATGTGAGGGCCGATACTTCTCCCAATTTAGCTGGCCATCGGACGAAAGGTTCGTCTCGTATCTCACTTAGGATTCGGTAGATCGGTTTTTTGAACACCGTGGTAATGGCAGTGCGAACTCTTAACCACCTTTTGTCTGGGTCTTCTCTGTTAGCCCGCCTACCTCGCCCATTCCTGCCTGGTCATTCTACTGTGTTGACTTTTGCCGTAGTCTTTTTATCTGGCATTGCTGCTGTGCCAGATTTTGTTTTAGCATGGGTGCCATCTTTCTCCACGCGAATATGTTAATGCACTCGCTCCATTAAGGCCTCCATCGTGAGGGATGACGTCATAGTAATCGAGTCCCTTAACTTGTTTCTGACTGGCAGACCTTGTTTGTATTGTGCAATGGCGAGGTTTGTAGGGCAATCCCCAATTTGGTTGATGGTCTCTCAATAACGATTGTTATAGGATCTCAACGTTTCCTTGTCGCCCATGTCAATGGAGAGTAACTGGTCAATCTCCACTGGTGTTTTGATTGTTATAGGATCTCAACGTTTCCTTATCGCCCAAGTCCTTGATTGAGTGCCGCCTGTTCTCAGACTCCTACTCATTGCTTGCAATGGTGTGGTATGCCTACCACGATCTTCCGAGTGGCGAATGGGCGTGTTGCTTTTGCGCCCCTCTCCTGTCGCCACCCCTTTGCCTTTTATCTGGCGCTTCATTGACTCCATGTTTGCCGCCATCTTTCGTATCAACTCATCCTACTCTTTCACGCGATCTTCCAGGCCTTGAGGGTCAATCCTCCGCCACTGTTTTTCAAGATTTTGGGAGCGACGGGGGCTGCTAGCCCGCCTCCCCTTTGCATCCCTCTGGGAGTTCTGTCGCCGGGGCTCTAAATCCGCCATGGGAGAGATAGAGGGTAGATTGCGGCAAGTTTTCATTGTGCACCATTACTTCCAACTAGCGAGGAAAACTCGATCAAGAGGTTTTGTTCTTTCTGGAATTCCCACAGACGGCGCCAATTGTACGAGCATGAAATAATGTTCTCGTATAATCCCGTTGATCAAGTTTATGCTCCTCCAAATGTCGTCGCTTTATTCCTTGAAAACACAAACGTAAGCTAGCCGGCGGGTGTGTGTCGGATACCTCTCCGATGCCTAAGTCAGCAAAATAGACAAATAGACAAAAGTTCTGTGTATTCGAGAATCAAAGTTGTGTTACCTCTACATAGGTGATGTTGTGAGCTTTTATAGGTTCCGCATAGCACAATCCTAATAAAACTCTTATTCTTCCATGTAGAGTCTTCCTAGAAATCACACTCCTGAAAAATAATGATTATCCTTTCACACCCCCCTCACTGCATAAACCAAGTGAGATAGTTCTAGCTCGGTGGTATGACCAAACGACTGAGCTAGTACTGCCACGCTCAAGTGGCAGGTTAGACCGAGCTTTACCTAGCTCGGGTCTTTCCTTCACCGCTTGTACCTCGGTTGTGCATGCTCTAACCGAGCTATTTACTTCAGACTGATCGAACCATGCCCAGTGACGGCCTTAGCTCGGCGCTACTATGAGCGATGCTTAGCTCGGTCCAACTTCGCCTAGGTCCAACTCGTTAGCTCAAAGACCGGGCTATGTCATCCCTTTACCCCGACCCATTTATGCGGCCCAACTTACAAAGAGGCCTTTAGCTTGGTCCAATTATAAATTACCCTCTTAATCACATTAATTGTAAAAAAATATATATATAACCATCTCTCCAAATACTAGTATTTTAACTTATTAAAATAGTCAAAAATTTAAATAACTTATTAAAATAGTCAACTTTCTAAACGAGCCCCTTATCTACCCCCAATGAGACTATGGAGTTGAGATTAAATTTGTATAGTTTTAAATATATATATAGAATAAATTTGACTCACAAAATTATAATTTTGAATAAATTTTATGTAATTAAGTCTGAGTTTATTGTATTATTATATTTTTTTTTAACAGTCAAGTATTTATAGTTTCTATGAAGTTGTAACGTGACCTTCTTTGATTGCACAGTATATATGTAATTAAAAATACTCTTTCTGTCCAAAATATTAGTCTTTTTTGAAAAATTTAATTTTTTTTCAGTAATATAATTATTGCATTTTAAAAATATTAAATTTTCATAAATACCCTTTGATAGTACACGTTTTTTGGAACATCAACTTTTTAATAAATTTAAAAGAATGACAAAATAAAAAATTTATATATTATTTTAGTCATCAAATTTTGAAAATAGACTAATATTTTGAGATAATGAAATATAAAATAAAGTAATAATATTTTGGGATGAATACAGTAATAAATTTCATTTTAATATTTTATTTTTTATTTTTAACAGTTAAAGAATTTACAGTTTCTATGAAGTTGTAACGTGACCCTCGAGTCTCTTTTGAGAACAGAAATGTAACTTTCTTTTATTTTTTTACTTCATCATTATTTTTCAACAATATTTTCTCACTTCATTGTATTTTTTAAGAAGAATGCTTCCCTTTAGTCCTCTAATTAACTTGGAGTGTCCAATTTAGGGAAATTTGAGCCAGTCTCAAGTCTATCTCTGTGATTTAAATTTCTAAATTATTAGCTTCTTTTGAGTAGATTATTTATGTAAAAAATTCAATTAATCAGCTATCAATAGACATTTGTTTGGATTATATATATATATATACATATATACATATATTTAAAAATAGACTACATATTTTCAGAATCATACTTCTTGTCAAAATTTAAAAGAAAAAGAAAAAGAAAAAAGAAAAAATAATCTGAGCATGTGGTAAAAATATTCGATCAATGTGATTCTCAACATAAATGATCTACTTAACAAATATTAAAAAGGAAAATGAGTTGGACCCCCAACATCCTCACTGTTTTGTGATTGGATCAATTTAATTGTTTTTTTTTTTTGGTCTGCAAGTCACAGCGCCCGACATGAAGGTGAGGTGCTGGGGACATGAAGGTGAGGTGCTGGGGTCACCCCACTGGGTCCCAGCAGAACTGTATTAAAAATTAGATGATTGAGATCACATAATTGAACCCAAGAGTTTTGTGATTGGATCAATTTAATTTTTTTTTTTTTTGGTCTGCAAGTCACAGCCCCCGACATGAAGGTGAGGTGCTGGGGTCACCCCACTGGGGTCCCAGCAGAACTGTATTAAAAATTAGATGATTGAGATCACATAATTGAACCCAAGATAGACACAAATTGCCTTAAAGTGAATCCTCTAGTCCAATTAGTAAATTAGATAGAAACCCATGTCCATTTTCTAAACTCACCAATACCAGCCGCCCAATCTTTGATGGGCTTAGAGGATATAATACAACAACAAATTAATATTTTAAAGATAAAAATTAAGAATGAAATAGAATATTTAATGAGGTACTATTTTCTGGAACCAAAATTTTAGTATAAAAAAGTAAACTTTTTTGCACGAAATTATTTTATCATATTATAAGCTTCGTTTGGGAACATACTTTTTTAGTAACTTTTTGACTTTTTGATTAAAATGTGATATAAAAAAAAAATAGTATGTTTGGGATGAATTTTTGACTTTTTATGAAAAAATGTGCAAAAAGTAGAAAGAAAATAAATTGCCTTAAAGTGAATCCTCTAGTCCAATTAGTAAATTAGATAGAAACCCATGTCCATTTTCTAAACTCACCAATACCAGCCGCCCAATCTTTGATGGGCTTAGAGGATATAATACAACAACAAATTAATATTTTAAAGATAAAAATTAAGAATGAAATAGAATATTTAATGAGGTACTATTTTCTGGAACCAAAATTTTAGTATAAAAAAGTAAACTTTTTTGCACGAAATTATTTTATCATATTATAAGCTTCGTTTGGGAACATACTTTTTTAGTAACTTTTTGACTTTTTGGTTAAAATGTGATATAAAAAAAAATAGTATGTTTGGGATGAATTTTTGACTTTTTATGAAAAAATGTACAAAAAGTAGAAAGAAAATAAAATCTTTGACTTTTTTGTATGAGTTGTTGGCTTTTTGATTTTTTTGGTGACTTTTTAACTTTTTGGCTAAAAAATCACTTGCCAAACGAGGCCTAAAAGTGCATATTTTAGCGCTTTTTTTTTAGGAAAAAAAAAAAAACCCCTTCTGGGCAGGACTTTTTAGTAAAGATATGAATTGATCTCCTAAACTCTTTACAGTAACATTCACTTTCAGAGATGAAAAAAAATAGTAGAATATCTGGAGATCCAGATTTTTATGGGTGAGTGGTAGTGTGATGGAGATTAAATTTGTATAGTGTGCAGTCCATATGAAAAATAAATCTGAACCATAAGATGATAATTCTGAGTAATTTCTAAATTTTTTGGGTGAATAATAATTTATGAGTTGATAAGTATGAATTGGTAATCTCTATCTATCTGTAACTATAACAATTTTCTAACACATTGACATAGTTGGGGATGGCAAGTGCTGTTCAAACTGTGTGCGGCCAAGCATACGGAGCAAAGCAATACGATGCGATGGGCATAATTTGCCAGAGAGCAATAATCCTACACTTAGCAGCAGCAATTCTTCTGACTTTTCTCTACTGGTACTTCGGTGAAGTCCTTCTATTAATTGGACAAGCGGAGAGCATAGCCAAAGAGGGTCAAATCTTCGCGCGAGGCATGATTCTGCAACTCTATGCGTTCGCGATAAGTTGTCCAATGCAAAGGTTTCTTCAAGCACAGAACATTGTGAACCCATTGGCATACATGTCAATGGGGGTTTTGGTATTGCACAGTGTGTTGACATGGGTTGTGGTTAATTACTTGCATTATGGGCTTCTTGGAGCAGCGCTTACGCTCAGCTTCTCCTGGTGGGTACTGGTTTTGCTACAAGGACTTTACGTACTTTTCAGCCCTTCTTGCAAGAATACTTGGACTGGCTTCTCTATCAAAGCTGTTTATGGGATTTGGCCTTATTTCAAGTTGACTATTGCTTCTGCTGTTATGTTGTGGTACGTATATCGGCACATTTGTTTTGGTAGAAAATAATAATATTTTTTAAAAAATAAATTGTACTTTTCATGGGTAAATTACATTTAAACCTTTTTATGTTTACTTTTTTTTGCATTTTGGCTTTTAAAGTTTTTTTTTTTTTCATTTTGGCTTTTAAAGGTTTTTTTTTTTTTTTTTTTAGTTTGTTACTAATGTTAATTTCTATCTAAAATTAAACATAAAATACTATGTTGGCAGTCGCGTAATATAATTTTTTTTATATATTATATTTGGGTTTTAAGTTTAAGTCAAAGTGTAAGTTAAATATAATAATATATTTCAAGTAATGGCATTTTTTTGTCTAATTTTTAGACAAAGATAGCTTTAAAAATAAATTGAGAAAAAACTTGAAACGTGAAAGCAAAATGGAAAAATGTTTAAACATGAAGGATGTGAATTGTAATTTATCCTACTTTTCACCTTTATAGTTTGATTAAAATTTCATTTTAGTTATAGTGTTTCAATTTGAACAATTTACCCTTCGAGTCTAGTTTTAATTTACTCATTTCATCTAAATTTATTAGCTTTTTTTTAGGGGCAGTTTGTCTCCAGTCCACAAAGTGGATTAGATGGTGCTGTTGGGCCCATGAGACCCACCACAAGTCTTGTTTCGACAATCTAAACCGTTCAATGCGTAGAGCTCATCGAGTACTTTATCCTTGTAAAAAATCACGTTAATCAGATTTCGATAGTTACTTGATCAGATCAGATTTTTATCAACAATTTATTTTTAAAATTATATTTACTATTGACAAAAATCTGATCTGATCAAGTAACTATCGATATCCGATCAATGTGATTTTTTACAAAGATAAAGTACTCAACGAATTCTATACATTAAATGATTCGGATCATCAAAACGGAATCTGTGATGGACCTCTATGGATCTAATAGCACGCTCCAGTCTGAACACGGACGGGAGAGAAGCCTAGCACTCTTTTGATGCATAAATCTCAAACGATTAACAATTGTCTTAAAATCATTAATTAATCTTTGTTAATGCAGTCTAGAGATATGGTACAACCAAGGACTTGTACTTATATCAGGCTTCCTCCCCAACCCAACAATTGCCTTAGATTGCCTTTCTATTTGGTAAGATAACACCTCTCTTTCAATTTTATTTATTTTTTAATATTAATCATCTTCTAATGATACATTACAATATTTTATCAGTATAAATTACTGGACATGGGACATTGAGTTCATGTTGGGGCTGAGCGCGGCAGTAAGGTATGCTACATGAGAATAAAGATGATTGCAATTTATATTCTGATTGGTGCAATTTATAGGGTCTGATTGTCACTTTTTTATAAAAAAATAAAATTAGGAGTCTATGTTAGAATATTTGTTACAGCTTCTTTTTATGGGTCTTTATTATTATTATTAATTTTTAATTTGGGTGGATTATTGCAGCGTTCGAGTCGGTAATGAGCTTGGGGCAGGACATCCAATGGTTGCAAAATTTTCAATGATTGTAGTTATCATGACAAGTATTCTCATTAGTATATTTTTTAGTGCAATTGTTCTCATTTTCCGGATTGGATTGAGCAAACTCTTTACAAGCGACCAAGATGTTATTGCTGCAGTGTCCAATATGACTCCATTACTTGCTATTTCTGTATTCTTAAATGGCATTCAACCTATACTTTCTGGTCAGTGAGTATTTATATATTTACACTTACAATAATTTAAAGTGCACATATTCAATTACAAAGTTGTGTATGTGATCAGATTGTGTGTATGGAAAAGAATTGATAGATTTAATACTTTGAATGAAGCTTCATCGTGTTGTTTGTTCCTAGCTAACAAAGGTCTTTTGTGAACTTCAGGGGTGGCCATAGGGAGTGGATGGCAATCTATTGTGGCTTATGTTAATCTAGCCACTTATTATATTGTTGGCCTGCCCATTGGATGTGTCCTAGGGTTCAAAACACGGTTAGGAGCTGCAGTAAGTCTCTCTCTCACACTTGGATGGTCTAAGTGTAAGGATTAAGACACAAATATCTCAGAAAAAGTGGGAACTCGTAAACTTATATAGAATAAAATTCACTTTTCACGAGATATTCATGTTTCATTATATAATTTTTATTTATGCATCGAACGCTGATATCAAAGTAAATTTCATTCTTATGAATTGTAAATGATTTAGCATCCTCTCAAAATGAAAATTTACAAGCATTGTTTTCATTGTTCAGGGGCTTTGGTGGGGGATGATTATTGGAGTCCTTCTACAAACAGTATGTCTAATCATCATAACTGCCAGAACAAATTGGAATGCAGAGGTACTGTAATACTTGATTAAAAAAAGAAAAAAAATCTCCTTTATGTATGTATTTTATTAATAGAACATATAATTTATTAGTTATGTATTTTATGCATTTTCTTTTATATCCAAACTATTCATATATCACTGCTAAAAAATTTATTTTGAATTTGGATAAATTACATTTGTAATCTCTATAATTTTCCTCTTGTGTCGGTCTAGATAAATTGAATGGACCATTTTGTCCTAAATTTCTATTCAAATTATGTTAACAATTAAACTACATTGACATAGTCTAAAAAAAACTAAATGACAAGTTGATTCAATTAAAATCACAAGGATTAAATTGTCATAATAAGCAAATTATAGAGGTCAATGCTATACTTTGCCCTCCAAATTTTATTTATTTTGCAAATACATCATGTGTCTGCATTGCCTTGTAATATATATATATATATATATTTGAATGATATCTTTGCATTTGGGTACTAAGTTACCATTTTTCATGCCATTTCAGGTTGCTAAAGCTGTTGAGAGGTTGAAAAAATCTGCAAATGAAGCTTCACCCTTGGACCAATTGGACAGTGTTTCCTAATGTTTTTATTCAAATATACTTTATGTTTCTGAGACATTTTTTTGTTTTCCCAATGAGAAAAATGTTAGATTAAGTGTGATCACACCATAATGTGGTGTGTCTCTGCAAACTTGATTAAATCCAATGGCTGGTGTATTCCTTCTCACAAGGAAATGGAACAATTTGATAAGTTAAGTATTTGAATTTGAACACAATGGACACATTGTTTCATGACAATTGTGATTGTTAGTTTTTGAATCCAAAAATTGTGACCTTTGGCAATGGTTGCCATTGTGTTTATAAAAGCAATGGCAGGATGTGTTCTTTAAACATACAAAATTTTCAGAACCATTGAATAACCTTTGCTTCCGGATTATTGATTCCATCTTGCGTGATAAATACCCTCACGGGAATTCCGATCATTTAGCCATTGTTAAGTTAATCTTACAGTGGTATCAGAGCAGGTTTAACTGTAACGCAAGTGTTGAATTTCAGATTGGAAGAAAGAAAATTTTCATAAATTCTTTTTGCTGGAAATTCAGAGCACCGCAAGCATTTGGTTTGGTAACTTCAATTTATTATAAACCCAAATGTTTTTCCAAATATAATGACATATAGACAGTAACTTTTTTTATGAAAAACTATTGAAATTTTGTTCCTACAAAACCTGTTATTTTTCTTTGGTCATTCAACCCGTCGCCGGAGGAGAAGGCAACTATAATAATACCGTTGCTGCTGTTGAGTTTGAAATATTAAAGCTCTGTTATGTTTGTTTTTGGGCTAGATCAAAAGAAATAAATTAAAGGCCCAATCCAACATAATACAATACATTTTATTATTTTTATTATTGTTATTTTTATTTTATTTTATTAATATAATAATAAATAACATAATAACCTTGGATCCTCAATTATATATATATTTTAATTATTATTTTCATAGTAACACATTTTGTTTTTAATATGGCTATTAAAAATACCATGGATTCTTCAAGAATCGAGATGCTTAATGGAAATAATTCCGAGTATGAAAATGTCACATTTCTTATCTTCTTATACATGAGAAAACATTGCATACTTTATCCACTTCTAAACCAGATGATGATTCTAATTGGTTCCAAAATAAATGGATAGAAGATGATGCAATGGCAAAGGCAACTATGTTACATAATATGAAAGATAACATTATTCCGCTTTTTGAAGAACATGAAATGGCAAGACAACTAATGGAAGCACTAGAAAATAAGTATGGAGTTCGATCGGATACTCAAATTCAATTGCTCTTGGACAAATATAATAACACTCGTATGAGTGATAATGATAGTGTTTGTGATCATGTTAATCAAATGGAATTAATTACTAAAGAATTATCCAACGCTGGTCACTCTTTGTCGGACAAGATGCAAGTAACTACCATACTTAATAGTCTTTCATTGTCTTGGGATCATGTTATCACATCTCTAACTCATAGCGGATGAGAGATTTCAATGGTAACATTGCCCGTACTCTTAGTTTTGGAAGAAAAAAGGATGAAGCGCAGGCGTAAAGAAGGATTATCTTCTAACTTATTGATGGCACAGTTTTCACCACAACTACAGAATAATACTCACACACTATTCAATAAGAAAAAAATGACTTCTTTCAAGAAAAAATGGAAGAAGGGATTTCAGAAAGGATGGAAGAAACCGCAAGAATGGCAAAAACAACAACATCACAAGCATCAGATAGGCCCATGTTACATGTGCAGTCAAAAAGTTCCTATCAAAGCCAATTGTCCTATGAAGAAGCGGAAAAAGGATCATAACCCTGTTGCCATGACAGTTTCTGAAGCAATGGTGCTTGAACCTTCATCAAATTCATGGTGGATTGATTTTGCTGCAACTAAGCATATTATGCAAAATAAAGACATGTTCGTGGAGTTTACCGAAAAGAAAGTTGGTGAACACAGAATCTACATGGGCAACAACTCCTATAGTGATGTTTTGGGCATCGGCAACTGTCAATTCTCTATAAATGGAACTTCTATGGTGCTTCATGATATGCTTTATGTACCCAACATTCGGCGAAATTTAATTTCAGTTTCGGTGTGAACTCAAAAAGGTTTTGAGATTACTTTTAGGTTTAGCACAGTATTGATTAAGAAAGGAAGTGTATTAGTAAAAGGTGTAAGCGTGAATGACATGTACTCTCTTCCTATTGATAATAAAGTATGCTTTTCTGATTATTTGCATGTTTCTACTAGTAATAGTTCTTATTTGTGGCATTTAAGGTTAAGTCACATTAATAAAAATAAAATGTTTCGAATGTTTAAAAGTGGCTTATTGCCTAAAGTATGTTCTGATGATTTTGATATATGTGAACCATGTATCAAAGGTAAAATGACTAGCAAGCCATTTTTTAAACATTGGAAATCATCGGAATTACTTGAAATAATTCATTCGGACATTAGTGGCCCTTTAAGAACTAAAACTCATCGAGGCATGGAATACTTTATTACTTTCACTGATAATTATTCAAGATATGGACATATCTACCTTCTTAAACACAAATCAGAAGCAATTGACAAGTCTAAGGAACATAAATTAGAGGTAGAAAAACAACTTAGTCGGTTCATTAAACATTTGAATAATGATAGATGTGGCGAATATGAAGCTATGGATTCTTTTTGCAAGGACAATGGCATAAAACATTTGTTTACAATGCCATACACACCACAACAAAATGGGGTCGCAGAAAGACGAAATCGTACTCTCATGGAAATGACAAGGTCTATGATGGCTCATGCTGATCTTTCTATTCATTTTTTGGGGGAAGCCTTGTCCATCGCTGCGTACATCTTGAATAGAGTCGAAACAAAAGCCAAACCTCTAACTGCTTACGAATGCTGGCATGAAACTAAACCTAATGTTCAAAATCTCAAAGTTTGGGGATGTAAGGCATATGTACTTATTCCCAAACCTTTAAGAGATAAATTGGGAAGCAAAACTTGGGAATGCAAGTTTATTGGTTATGTCGAAAATGGGAGTGGTTATCGTTTTTACCATCCCGAACGTGGATTAATAGAAAGTAGAGATGCTATTTTTCTTGAATCCACTGATCTTGTTACTCCTATTGAACAAATTGAATTGCTCTCTGAAGTATCTTAGGATTATTCTCTTCCTTCTTTATCACACAGTCCACATATTTTTCTTGAACCATCTAATAGTGGGAGAAAACGCAAACTACATGACGTTGTTTTACCTCCTTCAAATCCTGAGATAATTGGGAGTAAGAGAGCAAGACTAGACATCTACGTCTTTGAAAGATCATTATATTTTTCAAGTTGAAGAACTTAATAACTTAGTAGATGATCCTACTAGTTATAAAGAAGCAATGAGTAGCAATGATGCTACACAATGGGTTGAGGCAATGAATGAAGAACTTGACTCGATCAAGAAAAATGATGTTTGGGAATTAACTGATCTCCCAAATGGAAGAAAAGATATTGGTTGCAAATGGGTTCTTAGAAAGAAATTCAAAGTAGATGGAAGTTTAGAGAAATACAAGGCCAGGTTAGTAGCCAAGGGTTTCACTCAACAACCTGGAATAGACTTCGTAGATACATATTCTCCTGTTGCAAAATTTGCCTCAATAAGAATTCTAATGGCGGTAGTCGCTAGGATGGATTTGGAATTGCATCAATTAGATGTTAAAACATCTTTTCTCAATAGAGAATTAAAAGTGGAAATTTATATGATGCAACCTGATGGTTTCCAGAACCAAGGCAACGAGGATAAAGTCTACAAGTTGAAAAAATCTCTATATGGACTTAAACAATCTTCAAGATAATGGTACTTGAAATTCCACCAAGCTATTTTAGAAATGGGCTATATTGTGAGTCCATTAAATCACTGTGTTTATATGTGATAATCCTGTTCCGTATTATGCTAATTAGTCTTAATTGTGATTGTGATTATGTGTTTGATATGATTTAGTGTGCCATTTATATGAATATATGTGGTTTTGAATTTCTACCTGTCCACCGTAGGAATATCTGTTCAACTTAATGTTATAAACTGAAAATTGAAGGCCTTATTTTCCACAGAAACCGAAATTGACTACGCCCTTGTGATTAGCGTAATTTTTAGAACCTACGGTGAAATTTAATTGAAAATTTATTCAGATAAAAAATAATTAGATTCAGAACGTTTAATTAAGTATTATTATTTAACTCTAATCAAATGTGATTAGTGAGAGACTATAAAATGAGGTCTTTATGCTTATATTCATTTATTTTGAGCTCAAAACCGAAAATTGCTCCAAGGAAAGGGAGTGAGGGTCGGCTAGAGAGAAAGAGAGAGGGAAACAATTGAAGTTTGATCTTGAAGCGTGAATAATTTGAAGACCAACTCAAGAATTAAGCATACATTTAGAAGATTGAGGCTCCTAGGTGAGTAACCAACCCTTAATTCACGGGTTTGAGTTTGTAACCATATGATTTCAAAAGGAATAGCTTACCTAGAACAAGAATTGTGTCATAATTGGTGAAATTGAAGTTAATTTGCACATGCATGTATAGGATCACCATGATTTTGCAAAATCAAGCATGTATTAAGTTGAATGTGGAAAAATAAGTGTTAAGGCATACATGCAATTATGGTTTTGTTGTTTTTCATGGTTATGAGCATCATTAGTGCCATTTGAAATGGAATAGGGGTGAAAGACTAACATGCATGTTGAATTGATAGAGATATGAATTTGGTATGAAATTGAATGCATGAGTTTTGATTATACAAAGGAAATGTTGGATAATTTGAGAATTTGATGATGATTTTGAGCAAATTAGTGTCATACTCTTTCATTCTCATATAGTGTGATGTATTTGTATGTTTTGAACCAAAATCATGAGCTTTGGAACCTTTGAATGTCGAATTTGAGCTCAAGAACAAGTTCTAGAAAACCCAGAATTCTTGAAGTCCGCTCGAGCGGGGAAACCGCCGCTCGAGCGTAAAATACGAGCTCCCAGAATATTTTGCAGACATTGATGTCCGCTCGAGTAGGGATATTCACGCTCGAGCGGGGAGCTATGTAGAGTAACATTTAGCTCGAGCGTCCGAATTCACGCTTGAGCGTAAAAATGAGGTAACCAGTACTTTTGCAGACCTAATGGGCCCGTTCGAGCAGAGAAGTCCACGCTTGAGCGAGGACCCCTGTTTTAGAAAATTTGTAAAGGTGTTCTGTGTTTCATTTTCTATTCTC